AGGGAAAGAACAGCTGGGAGAGATCTGTGAAGGTTTATTTATAAATCAGATTAAAAATATCGTTTATATGTCTTTTAATTAATACAAACACTGTCTGTTTTAAAACATGCTGCACTTAATCATTGCCTTAGAGGAGCTCCCTTTAAACTCTCAAGAGTCTCGCTATGATGTGATCGCTTGTTAATTGATAACTGCTCAGCAGCTCAAAGATGGAGGTGTGTGAAGGCTCAACACTCAGCAGTCGTCGCTGCAGGAAAACGTCAGGTCGGTATTTAAAAAAAGGTAAGCTGTTATAACTCAGAGAAATAAAAGACGGACTTTCAAGTTCTCTCAAGTTCAACCTTCTTCCATTGTTGTTTCTTCCTGCGCTAATCGTCTCTGACATTTTTCTGCCCAGGTTTCTGGAGTCAAGCTATGCTTACATGTTGCTCTTTGACTATTACAGTCCTGTCGCCTTGTGTTTCAGGACTATAGTGTTGTACAGAGAACAACCTCCTGGGTCACCACCTTCAGGCTGTTCAGGGGGATTCAGCTGAAGGGAATCCTGTTCTACCCTGTATTGACCTGTGTGTAACTAAAGGGCATCATGTTAGTTGAGTTTGATTGTCAATCTATTTCTTTGTTTTTACCCACATACAGACAAACTTTCACAAACACCTGCCACTGATTACTAGATAGATACGATCTATGTTTATTTCCATTTTAGGTCCATTTGCCCAACAAAATAAGTCTTGCTTACAGGAGAGTGAACCTGGGAGTGATCTTGCTAGAAAAAAAAGAGAACCTCTACAAACCATAGCTAGAAAAAAAAAGAGAACCTCTACAAACCATATCTTCCTTCCACTTGAGACCAGGACAGTCACGTTAAGGAGAAATGATTCATTAAGTGGTTTACAAATAAAATCTGGGGATTTTGTGATGGCAGTTGTTGTATTTCTTTGGCATCAAAACCAAGACAGAGATGATATTTCACACGTGATGGAGCAATCCGTCTGTGTTACTGGTTACTAATTTAGATTCCTATGTGGGACATCTAGTGTTTTGCTAAAGGACAGTTTCACAGGCCACGTGACTGCTGCTGCGACACCCACTGCAACTTCTTCTCAGCTGTTTTTACTAGTTAGATCCTTTATAGAGGGCATAAAGCATCGTATACATGAGGTACAATCCTAAGGGAGAAATGAGAACAGTGAAATTAAATAACATGACAGAAAAAAAGAAGGAACTGTGTGTGAATAGTATATTCTTTCTATTGTCAATGTGATAATTACAATGCAAACTTACTGTACACTGCTCATAACACATCAGGCAGTTTGACAAATGCTTCTACTGTAAGCATGTGGACGTATCAGATGATACGATGGACTAAAACCTATAAATGTGGCTGCCTGAGTCTCCCCGTGAGCTAAACTCTGCTGCACCACCTGAGGAGCTCTGCTGTGTAGACCCCACCGCCCCCCTCTGCATTTAACGTTTCATTATTTCTGTTCAACTTTGTTTCTGTGGAAGAAGCTACACCAGAAAAGTCATTTTTGATCTATTTCCAAATATGCAAACACTCCTCCATCTGTTATGATGATGCGTCTCTGTGCGTAAAATGCCGCGCTTAGTGCGTCCTGGCGCGGACCAGTCCTTGGAAATTGTACGGTGTCAGTCGCGTTTCCTTCACGCCCCGCTGCTGTGGATCGGTGCTGAGCAGGCATCTCGGCGACAAAATCTGGATGAAAGAGCGTCCTTTAGAGCTCCGGCATGCATCGAGTGGTGAGATCATTGGAGTTATAAATATCCCCGTGACAACAGAACAACTCCAGCTACTGCAGCCGGGGTAATGCCAGGAGCGCTGCATGCGTGTGTGCGCACGGTTTCTTGTGGCCAGACCTCAGAAGCGGCATCAAAATGCTAGAAGTGGTCTAGCAAGTGTCTCCTTTTTGGAAGGATGAATGTTCCTCTTTGCCTTCTGACCTTCGCTCACTTGATTTGCGCGGCCGCCGGAGCACAGCACGTCTCTCTGGAGAGAGAACATCTTAAGGAGGGGATCACTTCGGGGCGCAGAACTTGCAGACTCTACTGTAGGGTTGGCATCGGCTTCCACCTCCAGATTCATCCCGACGGCAGAGTCAACGGCAGCCATGAATCCAACCAACTGAGTAAGTCATTCAACCTGTTCTTAGGGGATTCTGACAACTAAATAAAGATGAATCCACTGCGTCTCGCTGACAATGCGTGCTTGGACCTACGTGCAAATCGGAATTGGCTAATTGACCCCCTTCTGGTGGCAGCTATACCTATTTTAAATGTCATCTCTGGAAGTTATAACAAGGATGATTCACAGAGGAAGAGTTTAAAGACTGCGCACCTAAACTTGGGCTGCATGACCCTGTGAAATATCTGAGCAGGGCCATGTGGTGGACGCGCCTTGTGTGTCTGGGATGTTGGCAGGTAGACTATTTGTGGAAGCAACAGGTGCAGCTGTGAGACACTAGGATGTGGTGTATTGCATATCAACACGGCTGTCATCAAAGATCCTGCTTAAAAACTACAGCAGACAATCACTATTATTATTTTTATTTAACCCCTTGAGGTTTGAAACCTCTTTTTCAGTGATACCCTGAATCTCCAGACTGTTTTAAAGTTTTAAAAACAGATTGGTTTTACATTTAAAGTGATTTTGCTTTTAGTTAAAGGTCACAAATAAATAGTTTGATATGAAAGTACATTAATGTGCATTATGGCAGATATACAGTATCATGTAAGTAGTGCCAGACTGATTTAACAGATTTCTTTATCATTCACTAATTCAAAATTGTATTTTTGAGGCTTAATATTTTGGCATTTGAAGAAGCTGATTTAAATACTGAACACACACGTTCACAGTCAGTTTTTGAAATTTTAGTATAAGACCATATACAGTATACTGGCTCAGATTTAGCAACCAGTTAATTTACTACTTCTACTAAACTGAAATTTAACCATTTTACAAGATGTTTAAATTGAATATCTCAAATATCTAATATCCCCTAATATTTCTTTCCAATTGAAAACCTCATCTCCTGACTTGAGTAAGGAAAATCAGCTCTCACAACTGGACCAAAGTGCAGCACAAACTCAGATGGATATCAACTGTGAATATTATCAAGCACACCCCAGTTTCCAGTTGCATCTACAACAGGAGGAACAAGCACCCTTAGCACAAGCTTTGGCTGGAAACATTTATGGAAAACCTAAAATAATAAAAGCAGCAGTTTTAAAATTCCAAAGTGACCACAGTCCTACTGTACCTGAGGCTTTTCCCTGTGTGATCCAGGAAAAAAAAAACTGAAGTCATAAATCAAATATTTAGTTTTAACTGCACCAGATCTCTCATCACTCAACCGCTAACAAAAGCTCAGCATGTTCTTCTGCCTCCATTTCATGGTCCCCTTTAATAAAGATGTCAGGTTACATGGAGTTCAACATGATGGCCTTGGAGATGAGTAGAAGACCGGGCATCTGGTGGAAGGAGGACTCAGATTGTTTACTTAAGTAAAAGTAGCAGCGTAAAAACAATATGTTACCACTAAAAGTCTTGGATTCAAAGTGTTACTTAAGTAAAAGTACAAAAGTATTAGAATAAAATATACTTAAAGTACCAAAAGTAAAAGTACTCATGCAAAATGGCACATTTTACATTAATGTACATCATATTATTCCATTATATTTAGCTGGTAAAGGTAGAGCTCATTTTAGCTGCCTCATATGCTTATAACTACTGCTAGGGAGCTTGTGAGTTTCACACCAAGGATCAATAAATCTTATGTTTATACTGTATTTTGTTTTATTAACCTCATTGTAAAAAACGAACTAAATTTATCAAATAAATGTATCAAGTACAACGTATATTTTTCTCCAAAATGTAGTGAAGTCAAAGTATGAAGCAGCCAAAAATGAAAATATTAAATTAAAGTACTGATACCTTAAAACTGTACTAAAGTGCAGTATTTGAGTAGATGTACTTAGTTACTTTCCACCTCTACATTCTTTTATCACCACACTATCACATTTCATAAAGAAGACAGCACACAGCTAACATACTGTAGAGACAAAAGTAATGGAGGAAAATACCTACAGTAAATCTAAGTTGCAGTTTGGTCATTATTCATTTGCGTTCACTGGCCTCAACATGCTTCTTATTCACCTGCACTACTCTGGTGAGCCAGTCTGAGTTTTGACCTGGTGGCTCTAGGACATGGATGTTGCTGTCAACTCCAAACCGCTTGATAAAAACACAAAGGATGCTACTGATCGACCATCATTAGGCAAACAGGCAGCATCGACTTAACCAGATACCAACACCCTCCACTGCATATATACATTATCCAAGCATCATCTGTGGGTCTAACCAAAATATATTACAGTACTTACTTCACTGTAACAGAAATAAAACATAACGGAGAGCAAATGATGTTTCAGTGGAGTCATTAATCATGGTGCGCTGGTGTTTTTATTACCTTGTAAGTTTCTTTTGGATTTACAAATTTGCTTTGTTGCTGAAATCCCCTCTGGTTGTCAGCAGAGGTTAGATAGGACAGAAACAAGAATCAAATTAAGGAACAATATTTAGCTAAAAACAACCAAATCACTTGGAGTGCCAAAGGTGCCGCAGAAGTGGACAGTGCACTGACACGTCCGCTCTCTCAGACCAGGGAGGAGCCACCAGAAAATGACAAGGGGAGTAAAAATACACTCTGTCAACAATCAAGTGTCAGAGCATGTTTTTTGCCCTCCCAGGTGTCCTGGAGCTCTTTGCGGTTTCTCAGGGGGTAATCGGCATCAAAGGGGTCTACAGTAACAGATTCCTGGCCATGAATAAAAGAGGACGGCTTCATGCGACTGTGAGTATGCCACACACCTGACAAATTGCCACCCTGCACACTCAGCACATTCATACTGCTGGCTGCTAGTTTGTCAGTTTTAAGTAGCTTAAATACAAGTGTTGATTGGAAAGTTGTTCTCCAGATGAAATGGCTTTCATCCCACTGGAGCAACGTGTGACTCCTCATGATGAATGCAAGTTTCATATTCAGCGTCTGTACTGGCCTCCACAAACCCGAAAGACAAATATCTGTCTCATTCGTTGGTAAATGCTAATGGTTTAGCAGGTATTGTACAGTGGATTTATCACAGACTGCTTGATGAAAACAGCTTCCTGCTGCTGTTGGAACCAGAGTCGATAAGAGGAATGAACCAAACAGTAAAAATATACTGTAAAACCAAAACAATGACCTAAAAGAGGCAAAAAATTGGGGTGATATTTCTTCATCACTTCTACTCAGTTTTATGTTGTTTACTTGACTTCAAGCTGACAATTTCATGTGCATTTATGGCCGCACCTAGAACCACAATTTAATTTGGCCAAACACTGTGAATTTGCATCTTATTTATTGCTAATTTGATGCTCCTCTCTGGTGCAGCTGAACTTTCCTTGGATGAATGAAGCAACTGTATTTCTCCATGACATCACTGTCTAGTGGCACTGTAACTGGTTTATTTATTATTTTGTGCAGCTTTGCATCAGTGCTGCATAACAAAATCCCCAAATTCTGATATCAGTATGCCTTGGTATACTACTTTAATCTTTAGCCACAGTTTTGAAGACTTCAAAATCCCCCCAAACACACAATAAGCCCAAATCTGCCCACAGCAGCTTGGCCTTGCCGCAGAAAGCAGGCCCGAGCCGAGTCATCTGTGGGAGCCTTGGCATGGATATAGATAGAAGCAGCTCCCTATTAGCATGTGTTAATGGGAAGAGCAGATTAAGTCCTGTCTGGGACAGCTGATAATATAGAGAGAAGCAAGCCACAAAGTGAAAATCAATATGTTGAGTAAACAATCAGCCTCGTGTTGAGTGTCGGCCATTTATGCCCCCTCAGCTCCCAGTATTGTTTCATGAACCCTGTCAGTGGGAAGCGTATATTCTGTCAGAGGGAAATCTCAGCTGCTGCTTGTTAGCAATGTGCTAATGTTACTGTGTGCAGCTCACAGCTCACTCCAGCTTTTGTAAGCACTAAGAAAAATGACAGAGCTTCTTGGGGCCAAAGCACATCCAACCAAGGTTTAAACTGAAGCTGTATTGACATCGATAAACAATGTAACAAAGCAAAACAGCACACTGCAGATTACTGCCTCAAACTAAAGATCTTTTTGTTCTGCTAGAAGTTAGTCATGCATGGTTATAGTAAGGAAGTTATCACACACTGAAACGTTCTCTGGATACACAGTAATCCACCAGGAAGTCTCACTCGCATGTATTCGAATGCCGACACAGTGCCTTGCCAGGTGACGTCATGTTACCAACTTGTTTTGGATGACTCCCCTCCCCCTTTGCATCAGTGCACTTTCCTAGTGAAGAGTAAAAGTCTGTGTGAACGCAGCCTGAATTGGGGATTTTCTTTCTTGTGGAGCAATCCGGCCTCATCTCCTGTTCTAAACAGTCACGATGAAAGTCTAGATTTCCACAGGCACTCCTTCTGCACAAACTCAAATGGCGATCATCTTCTCCCTCACCATTCTCATGACCAGTGCTTTAACCTATTTCAAAATTGACGCCCAGGAGTGAATGATATTTGCTGTTAATATTCAGCAACACCAAATTCTAAATGTACTGAGCAGACACAGGATGAACTGGCCATCATCTTTCCACTTTCACCATCTTCATTATATTCACCATTACTATAAACTGAATAAGTACGCAAGCAATATGCACTCAGACTTTTGTAGAACTGTCACAGCCGTTTAGCCTTTTCTGATGGATGAAATTACAAGCAACTCAATTTGCAGAGGAAGACCAGCTGAAAGTTTCACACTGAGATTGCTAGTGGAGAAATGTCAGCCTGTTGGGTCATATGACACTTTGTCGCTTCTAGAAGCTGGTAGTATTTAGACTTTTTGTATTTATTGCATAAATTGCAGCTTTTTTTTATACAGTAAATGTGATATTTACCCTACACTCTGGCAGACTAGTTCTCTGGCTCCAGCCATTGCAGTCAGATCTTATTTTTGCCTCGGGAGCAGCTCTGCCTCAGAGAAATATTTGTATAACTAAAACTCCAATCTGTGGCTGCAGCTGCACTGTGTTGTTTAACCGCCTTGATGATTTGGGGTGGATGTAAACCTCAGGGGCCGCAGATAGGCCAGGGCCTCGTGCTGGAGTGTCAGGTGACCCTGAATGTTATCTTGTTGCATCATCTGTCATATTTAATATGTAGATGTTTTCACAGTGGCAGTTTATTGGCTGAATAATGACTGAGGAAGCAGATGCACATTGTGCTGCATGGCCTTCTCAGCAAGCCATCACAAACTTGATCTTAGGAAAGGTGAAAGGGTCACCTGCATTAGCAGAACAAACCGTAAGTGATGCAGGAGAGAAGAATTAAATCATATCCTGCAGCTACAGAAATGACTGATGTACAGAACCATAGTGAAATATACTCTGCAGTATCTTTGGCACCTATGACACATTTGTACTTTGAATGCCAGGTTACAAGTATTTCCCAACTAGTTTATGGAATGTAATTAGTTGTAGTTTAGTTTTTAGTTTTTAGCGTATTATCTGTTTACCATGAGGTGGGCACGTTAGGTTTTAAATATATCAATAAATATTTGGTGGACTTGGCTTTGGAGGACTTTAAACCAAAAAAACTAGACTGGGATCACTCTGATATTCAGTTAGAACAGAACAAATCCTCAAAACAGATAGTTCAAACCAAAACCACAGGACTAGGATCCATCTGAAGCCCAAACATCTGGATTACCTTTATCCCACTGGAATGGCGGATTTCTAGTGGATTACCATAAGAAAAAAAAGGTAGGTTTCAAAACTAAAATAGGTTTCAAAATAAATAAGATGGTTAAGTTTGTAAACTTACAGTTTTATTAATCTTTGGCCCTTTGCACACCTCTCAGAACAGCTGTTCAACCAAATAGGTAGTTTGTGATGCCAATCACAAATGTAATTTAGATTAAACAAATACAGCTTCAACAAAAAAATGGCCCAAGTCTGCCATCTGCAATGAACCTTCAAAAGTATTTGAGGACAACAGCATGTCGCGTTGTATGACCACGCTGTCTCTCATGTAAAGGAAAGTCCAAAGGTTGGCCTGGATCATCTGATTTTAAATAAGTGTTATGCACCTGTAAAATATTATTCCTCATCATTAAAATGGCTCCGAATTGCTATAGTGTCTGTCTTCCTTATGATGTTCATCAAATCTATTAGGTGGCAATAAGTAGGATTAAAACATTGATATTCTGGATCTGGTTATCTTGAAAAGTCTAAATCTGGGTCAGGTTGATCTTATCCTGAGTTGCTCTGAAGTACTGGCATAAAATCTGGATGAAGTGTCTGATTCTGGATCACAAAATGCAGGATTTCCAAATCTGATTGGATCAGACTGTGGTGAGGCTGTGATCGGTTACAGTGACATTGAATGATTTTGAGTGAAATGTCTGAACAACTGGCTTTTCATCTGGCAGCACCATCAGGTCACAATTTAAGTTGTCTAACGTTGTGGTTTATGATCAAATACCTGCAAAACAAATGACATTTCTGGACATTAGCCGCACTAATTAGCAAATATCAAGATGCTAACATGCTAAAAACTAACACTGAGCGCATGATAAGTATTATCTACCAAACACAAGTATGTTAGCAGTTGATATGGAGACCATTAATATACTCATATTACGATGTACCTTGAGGCACAGTTATGACCAATGCAGCCCGACAGAGCCGCCAGTGTTTTATTTTTTAGGCTGTGTTGTTTTCAACATAAGCAGCATCATTTTGCATTCAGGGAACATTAACCTAAGTGTTTAACAGAACTAATGTAAAACACAGCTGGCCCAAGATGATGTTTTCTACTGGTATTTTTGGGACTTTGATACAGAGTATACTCTGGTACGTACTGCTCTTAGGAAATAGCCCACACTCTAACATCTGACACTGACTAAAGTGTTTGCCTTCTCCTGCCTACTTAGCTTTTACGTGCTACCAGAACAGTGATACTGTAAATAGTGTTACAAACTCACTACAGTAATGCATGACAACGTTTAGCTTGCTTAAACAGTCCAGAAGGTGAATGAGATGATATGGAGAGTGGTCTTAGTTCAGTTTGTAGTCTCAGATTTTAGTGAGCGCTCTCTCCATCTGTCTGCAACAGCAGTAAGAACAAAAAGGAGCAAATCTGAGAAGAAATAATTTTGGGGGTAAAGGAAAAAAAAGTTAGTCATCAGTAACCTGCCACCTCTGCCCTCGATACAACTAAACCTAAGCATAATGGGAAAGCTCCCTTTAAAAGAGCGTGACCAATCCAGCAGGGCAAGAACCGGGTTAAACAGCTGTACATTATGATTTTAACAATAAATCAAATCAAATCAAATCAAATTTTATTTGTATAGCGCCAAATCACAACAAAAGTCATCTCAGGACACTTTACAAAGTAAGGTCTAGACCTTACTGTTATCAATATTATTACATAGGGAAAACCCAACAAATCCCCCTTGAGCAAGCACTTGGCGACAGGGGGAGGAAAAACTCCCTTTAACGGAAGAAACCTTCGACAGACCCCGGCTC